TTCAATTGTAAACGACTCACGAAAAATCATCGTCATTCTTATAAATACTCAGATTTTTTTCAAATTTTTAAAAACTCATAACATACCCAACCCATCGCTCGTGGAAGTCATAATTGGTAAATATCTTGAATTTTAAAAGAGTCAATACCGGCGACACAAGGAGTTTGAATTCACAAAAAAAGGCATTCAAGATTAAATTCGTCATTGAGTCAGTTTCATCTACATGATGAATAAGCCTGAGCAAACAACTACGAATGAGAAGAGCCTACCAAGGTGTCAAGGACCCAAGTTAGGTGCAAGGACCTAAGTTAGGTGCAAGGACCCGGCACCTTACTTGCGAATGTGACAAACACATATTCCAAGTCCACATCTGCATCGATCACAGCTGGCAAGGACCCGGCACCTTACTTGCGAAGGTAACATCTTATCCGACACGAGACCAAGATTAAGTTAGCATCAGCCTCTGAGATTGTTAGACCAAAAGTAGGCACTCTGGGGAGACCATCACAGGAATGCCAAGCAGGCCACGACGTCTGAAGCGGTGCGCGACCCAGGGCAGCACGGTGGTCCTAAGAGACCATCTGGACGTCGACCAACTGCTGCTTCTCGGGAACAATCAGAAGCAGTCGCAAAACCTGATTTCCGATATATTTAACAGTCTCGTTGACCACTGAAACTGTACATGGATTTTATCAGCGAGGAATCTAATGTACACCATAGCAGTGAGCAAAAAATTAATTCGCTCGCTTTTTGCTTTTCTTCCAAGCTGGTTTAGAGGTTTCAATCACGAAAGATTCTTAACATGTAAGTAAAATATAAAAAATACGTCAATGATATCTAATGGATATGAGAATTCGGAACTTTATAACATGGATGAAAGGAGCGAGATTTGCACTCATAATCATTTTTTTAGAATAAATAAATTAAAGTCGCGTGAATCTCTTCGTGGAGACTATAAAATCGCAGAATCGCAAATCTTAAAGATGATGGAAAGTTTGGTTGGCCTCTACAGCCAGCAAAGTTCAGAAGAGTGTCAAAACAGTCGCTAAAATTGGAAGCCTGGTGGCAGGGTATGATTTATGGTTGTTTTTCATGCATCATTGTTGAAGTTGCTGGCTGGCAAGAGAGTCCATTTGTCGCTATCGGCCGCCATGCTGGTGATCATAGCTGCTCACAACTCACTCAACTCTCCAGTCTGGTAATTTGCTCTGAAAAACCTCGAATTATTTCTAAGGGGCCATGTTTCATGATTAGAAATGCACACATCATAGTATTTTTGGCGTCCTCCAAGCGCTTGTGCTGAAAAATTATGCCGTTTTGCTCAGGTGCCGTGAAGAAGGCAGAGTTTGCGAGCACGTGTTGCTACCGACGCCGCAGGGTCTTGTCCAAAAGACTGCGACCCCCGTCTCCTCTCGTCTGGCCAACACATACAACACAAGACACTCTCATTACTCCATTTTGTACAAACAATGCGGCTCTCTCGAAACATCTGGTGCCTCTCACCTCATCAGGTACAGCAAATCAATCGCCACGGACAAATAACGTGGAGGAATTTTATTGGGGTGCATGCAAGAGGCTACTTTGGATTGTGATGAAGAACACTGGCTGGTCGCTGTGCGCTTAAGAAGCATGTAAGGGGGAATCAGCTCCCTGTGGTGTAACCCCCTCCCCTCTCTCGAGGAACCAGAGTGACCTCTCCCTTTCTTGCCGCGGCCCTGCCGCCGACAGCACCTGTTCATCGCTCGCACCTGCCACTCAACACCCGTATTTAGTGCTACTCTAACACCTAATAAACTCCTTTCAACGCCCTATAACATTCAGTGTTCAGTGAAGCGTTCACGTAAACCTGAAAATTAAACGAAAATGTGTAAAGAAATCGTCGTAGCAGCCATTTTCGGATGGCCTTCAGCATTCAGAGAGTTTTTTTCGAGTGATCATCGTCTCGTCGTCGACCATGAGACCGTAACCAATTGAGAAGCACGCGCAGTGCAAGACTGAGTGGAAATGCCCTTGTCCCTTTATTAATTAACAACATACTAATATTTATTAAAAATCGCGAGACCACTTTGAAAATTACCGAGAAATTCAAGTTGACATGGTGATATAATTTAATAAAAACTTATTCCATGTACACGAAAAATTCCTCTTCGTAAATATGAGGAAGTAAAAAATATACCCCACTAACATAACGTAGAAAAACAATGACTGTTGGTTCGATTATTCACCGCGTATACAAGTTTCGGTCGTTCTTATTGATTAGCGTACAACAACCCAGTTTTCATAATTAACATTTCTACGATTTGAGTAATTAAAAGCTAAAACAGAAATATACCTATTCTAGACGAAAAAATAAAAATATATATAATAATAATAACACGAGTATTGTGACAAGCCTCATCTATTTAGCCTTAAAACACCCTCAAATTATTTAGGTACTGAAAAACTCAGTGAAGATACAACTCTAGATTTCCACCTTGCATAATATAAAATGTCACTGAATTAGACTCGTAAACAAAACCGCATTCAAAACTTTATTGTAGTTGGAAGGCGTTATTAACAGATTCTGTATGTTTCAATCAATTAACTATGTATGAGAGCATGAACTAACGATAATAAGCATGTATTTTTAGTTGTATTCAACATGCAAGCTAGAATACGAAATGAACCTTATCACAGTAAAAAATTGATACCTACATATAATGGCAATATGCACAACCTGCTCTGAGAGACCGAATGCAGTGAAAACGGAAACGAAAAAACTTTTAACGGTCAATATTATTGAACTTGTATTTATGATAAGCACGAACATTAGAGAAATATTCAATACACTTAAAAACTTAATGAGCGACATGCGCTCAAGTTAACTTGAAGTTAACTTGAAAACTTTAATCTTTAATATTAGACATCACGCTTATCGTGAATTCCATGGAATGTCACTCGATCTATGCAAAATTCCTTAGCACGGTCTGGACGAGTCCGCGAAACTATTCGTTTAGTTCGACCAATTGTGATATCATTTCAATTCAATCTTACTGACAATTACAGCCATTTACATATGAGTAAGCCGATCAACGGATATGACAAGGATATTAGTAAACTTTTTAGATCACAAATAAACAACTCAATTAATTAATTAACATGCAAGAAGAAAACAAGCCTCCAACTTCAAGTCCACATTAGAGCGCATAACGATCATCAAATTAGGCACTTGCAACGCGAAACTTTTTCTCGTGGCAAGAGTTTAGTGCGCATCGGGCTCACTCGTTCAACAAACGAGAACCTCTCCGCAAAGTTCCGCGAAACCTCGGCACTTTGTTTGACCAAGTCAGGAATGGCGGTCTGAGTCTTCGAGCCTTTTGTATGATAGCCGATTTAGGGGTGCAAACAAGGTTGTCTTCCTGTTTGCTTAGGGACATCCAGTTTACCCAAACGCGTTGCAGTTACCAGCCATCAAGAGTTGACTGGACAGAAAAAGCAACGTTGGTCATTTAGTTCAATGGGAACAGATCACGGCTTCAGAACGCTGCGTTAAGTGGATGGTATAGGAAAACGTGCGTAAGATGCATCAATACGAGGTTGCCCACAGAACACATTGATTTTTATTCAACTGAGCAAATGAACAGAAACGCCTCCAAATTCATTCGAAAGAACTAAAAATTTTTAATAGTTATTAAGTTTGTTTTGACAACAATTCTAAGCACCAGGAAACTTAATTGGCAATTTATTAAGAAAATGAATAAATCGACAAACCCAAGTCAAATCCAACTCTCTTGAAAAGCAAACTCAGATGGTATTATGAAATTTCTCAAAGCCATATGTTAAATTTACATTTTTAACCACAGAAAATTTTAGAGAATAAATTAAGAATAACTTTCTCAAATAATTCCTTCATGCACAGCCATTAAACGTACGTGAGTAGTAGGTAATCAAGCAATTTGAAAGACTAAATTTGCATGAAAAACGTTCTGAAATGAACCATATTAGTGCTTATTATATAGTGTGTTCTGAAGTGAACGTTCTGAAGTGAACCATTTCCGTTTTAAATAAATACCAATTTCAGCGTCTCCAACTTCAACGCTAAACACTATTTTATAATGATGCCAATTTACAATTATAACGAGAATTCCTATTATACACGAAATTTTACTAGAAACATGTCAATAAAGAAGCTAATTAAGAACCATTATAACGAAAATGTAGAGATTCTAATACAACCGCAACCTGTAGCAGTCCTGGTCAACGTACATCCAAGGCAAGGTCGTAGCAATTAAAAGAGCGGCCGGTCTATTGTGCAGTTACGTGTGGAAATCGCAAATAAGCAAGGAATGTGTATTGCAAAATTAAAATCCGTTGAATTTCCTGTTTTTCGATCCTAATTAATCTCGATGGGGAAGTCGTTGAAAAATTCCAATTAAGCTAGAAAATAAGTCGGCGTGGTTTGAGCTACATGTAAATCGATCTCTCAAAGAATAATAGATACATAGTTTAGTAGAGATATAGTATAGTAGTAGTTAGAGAACATATAGTTAAGTCACCGTTCATGCCAATTATTTGTCTAAAAAATCAAATTAATTTAAGATTTTTATACACGTTAATCGAACTTGTGTAAGGTCTTGATAAAGTATCCCCACTAAATGGTTTTTGTCACTTACATGTTCCATTATAAGTGTTCACTTCAAATTACATCGTATTAAACCTGAAAATTAATACAAACCTGCGGTTTCATGTATGCAAGTACTTCAAGGCAAAATATTTAGATAGCGTGTAGGCAAAAATATTTATGACTCTCTAAAATAATAACAATTACTAGTAAAGTATGCGTTTCTGGGTCCCTCTCACCAGGCAAATGGGGTTTAAATGGTTAGTAAACCGATTCAACAAAACAGCCTATAATTCAGGGTCAGATTTATCTGGTGGGCAGCGACCTCAGTAATTGCTAACGACGAATGCTCAGGCTTACCGATCTGGGCAGCAGTCCCTCACGGAACACACTTGCTCACCTCTCGGATGTACGTTGTCTGTGGAACGAAAAGAAAGTGTAATTAGTGGCAATCACTTAAACTGTTATGAACTCAAGATATTTTATAATGTGGTGGCAAAAACAAAACCTAAAAATAACAACAGTGGAATTAATTAGAATAGGCCGATGATGAGGTACAGAACAACTTTAATAGCCTTGTTTTTTTTTTTTAATTCTTGTCTGTAGATGAGGATATCTTTTATATTAGTCATCATCGAAAATTCCAGTTCGTGCAGATGTGCGAACTGGAATTCGACAAGAGTTTCCTTACAAGAAAACCCAAACAAATTCAAAAAAATTTCCAAGAATTGCCAGAGAAACTTCATGACCTTGAAGTCACGAGTTTGATTCAGAAAGAAGCCAATGTTCGAGTTCCTCGAGTGCCCACCCGAAGGTTAGGCACTCCAGTGCCCAACCTTCTGGTACTAAGGAGCTCTCTCTGTACTCTCTAGTTCGCGCTTCAGGCCGAAAAAGAAACGTTCCAGTTCAGAAACAAACAGCGACTCAAATTACCCGATAAGAAGAGCATTATAGTCACAGAAAGACAGGCTCAGCGATCCTTATCTCGCAGAATGGATGGCCACAAGACTATCTCTTAGTGAATGGGACAAGATCCACATGAGGCACAACAACCCAGTTTACTTTCAGATCATCTTCGACGCTACCGAGCTGGAAGGCATGAATCTGGTGTCAAAAATAACTTGGGAATAAGGTTTTAAAAATGAGCGTGGATTCGGAATCGTCGTTAACCAATTAAATTCAGATTTAACTTCTGGATCAGAAGGCTTTAGTCGTTCATACGAATATTTTAAATAGCCTTGCACCGAAAAGTCTTACGTAAATTGCCATGGACATAGTTGAGCCATGGGTTAATTAATGATACGTGCTAATGATGTCGCTCAAATTATTGTGCAATTAAGAATAGCCTGCCTACAAATCTGTCACGAGTAATACCTATAACTATAAGTTAGTAATACCTATAAGTTAGTAATACCTATAAGAAAATCGACGTTGCAATAGTTTCAAGCGAAAGCGAACAACGAAGACTGGTAAAAAAAAGGTGTAGTCATCACAACACGTCATAGAAAAATAATTTTTCCAGTTGAATTTCATCACTCAATTCATGGCGCCTTCCAAATTATCTGAACAACTGCAATTCTGGATGAGCAACACTAGATCGTGTGAGCGGATTTCTAGCATTTGTCGTTTTCTTGTTCGATTTTGAAGAGACTGTTCGCAGCGCGAATTTTTTGTCCTGCATCGTATCATAGTAGCTGAGGAATGCTGGTAATTATCGCTCCGTGGGGATCGCAATACCTTGATCAAAATTAAAGGTGGTATATGACTGGCCGGCGACCGAACATCCATCATTTAAAACCTGGTTCCTAGTACTTGGTAACTGGAGGTCTGGTACGCCTGAGTTTTGCTGGATAAACGGGGACATTTATAAGGTTGACTGGCTTCGCTAGATCCAACTTATGCGCGGATATAGAGTATTTTATAGCCACGATGGCCATGACCCCATCTTCATCATAAGCAAGTGGACTGCATTTGTACACAGAGGACCCCGTACGTGTCTACAACTTGGCTTCAGTACTGGAAACGCCAAGTATCATCTTATAGCACCCATAGATAATAAAGTCCATGAGCAGACCTGCATGAGAACTAAATTACAGAAAAAGTGAGTGAGAACAACGCTAATCTCATATTACACTCGCAATTTAAAGTGTATTTTCAACAAAACAAACGTCAACTATTAAACTTATAACGCAACAATAAGAATTGACTATTGGCGAATATTCGTGCATCCCCTGTCCATTATCCGCTTCCACGGAAGCGATGAGGAACGAAAGTAATTTCTGGTGCTATATGTACCGAATAAAAGTACAATAATTTATGATTGTAATTAGTTATAATTATGAATCGTATACCTGATCACCCGCTACCGTGAAATGATACCAAGAAATTTAATCTGTTCGAAGAATTCATTAAAATAAATGCTTGCTTCGACAATACTTAATGATGAGTAATGAAAAATATTTGCAAGCAAGAAGGAATATCAAAATGCAGCGCAATGGCTGAACGGTTTTCAGTCAACTATACATACGAATAGCTTCATATCAAAAGCCGCACTATAGGACTGATGCATGCACGAGTTTTCGGGCGCCAGAAGTCCGTAAGATAGCTAATTGTAGTTTAATATGGTTTTAAATTGCGTAGCATTCAATAATAAACATTTTTCAACGCAGTTACCTGCATGAAGCCTCGTCCTTCTCGTATCAGAAGTCAGTGTTGATACTTCGCAGGAACAATCGAAGCTAACACATGATAACTTGAAAAGAATTGTGTTCCAACAAATAGCGTGCGGTGAATCTCTTGATCTAGAGTATAATTTGGCCTGAGACGGAGTTTACTAATTGTGACGAAGTAAACTATGCAATCGATAATTATATGCATCCCTAATAGGACTATCCCATACCAAACGAGCGGCTTAGAGTTTTTTCCAAGTATTTAAATGAACGTCACGTAGTGGCCTGACTATAATGGCCAATCGCAAGTCCCTATGCCAGTAAATTTTCATTTATTTGGCGACACCTTCTCTACAGGGTAAAATTAATCGTTTTTTAATATGGATTAAAATCAAAATTTCATGAATGTTTGGGCACGACAATTAACTGGCAGTCGATTAACCCAAATACGCAATGATAAACTAAAATCTTTCATGTGAATTTTTGTCAAACCTATATTCCTGAACGGATATTTTGATTTCAATGCTGAAAATTTTCATGTATGAAAAAAAAAATTATGCGGTGCCGCCAACTAGATGTGCAAAAAAATCAGTAAATAACCTCCAGCGAGACGAGAAATCGTTACTAACTTACCAGACTAATCAATATTTCATATGCAAGAGGGACCTACAGTGCGTCGCAGAACACGTTTGAGCCTTGAGCCTGTTGAATCGAGTGCTTTTAGGCGGAGAGCAACATTACCGCTTTGAAACCTTTTAATAATAATTTTATTTATACGAGACATGAATTAACTCGCAAATACGTAGAAATTATATTCGAGAACATTTTCATTGACAGTCATGCCTCCCTATAAGCATGAAAACTCATGTTACGCATCGCATTTCCAGGTTATACGAAGAAGCTTTGAAGATGACGGGTTAGCCAGATAAGCTGACAAGTGGAACGTAATGTGCGCAGTACAGAAATAAGGGCTAATGATCCCTTTATCTTTTTGTGTGGCTAGAAAACGTGTTTACTTCTTGCGTCGCTAATCCGAAACATAAACAAACACCTCAATAATTTGTTCTTCGGAGAGTGATTTTTACATCTGCTGGCGGAAATGGATCCCAGATGGATACTTTTAAACTATTCACGAAACGAAGTAAATGAATTTTCAGTAGGTTAAAGTTAGGATTTAAATTTCCCCCAATCCAATATATTCAACTCGAAACATCCAACAAATACACCAGAAAATTGTGAACCTAAATTCTTCAATATCTCAAAGTTTCAAATCCGAGTCCAGATGTTACACGCAGTCTTTATCCATAAGGGTTAGGCAGCACATAAGGTATATACGTACGTGTGGATGACCAGACTTAGCTTTCGTACCAGACACTTTACTTTCACTTCAGCCTGCACATCATATTTTCAAGAATAGGCAAACGTTCATCATGGAGTGAGTTGCGAACGCCAAGTTGCTACTTTAACGGTTTTTATAAAGCGAGTTTCAAATAATTAATACCTTATTTTCACTCTAAGGAGTGATATTTTTTTATAAACAATAGGTAGAGAAAAGAAAAGTTCATATTTTTTATTCTAGCACGCTAGCTTGTTGCAATTCATGGCGACCGACCGTCACGTTTTCATAAAATTCCAGAAAATTTACCGGTAAACTTCGAATTGGAAGGAAATGGGGGTGTGACTATTCAGCTTCATATTCATAAGATAAATCAGTCAGGAAAGAACTGTTACTGTAATCTGTCCATGCCGTACACGTGATTTTATCCTAACGTTCATTATACCATTCGATAAGCATTCCAAAGCGTTACTTATGAAAAATAATTAAAGATGAAAAAAATAACATCTCAATTTTCTAGATATAGGTACGTAAGTGAACATTTTGCACAGGCTCTACATTACGTAAAGAGTTCAAACATGACTATGAATAAGATAATATGGTCAAAATCATTATTTTGGTTTGACGCTCAACCTGATTTGAATTCCTACAACCAAAAACCAACACATCATGGATTTGATGGAGCTGAGTAAAATGATAATTTGAGATAGCATAAAAGAAATCTTGATTAACCTCCAGTCCAATTAAACTTTTTAAGGCCCCTTGCTCGACATTGCCAGGCTACAAGGTCGTGCGTACACGATTATAATTCAACTTAACGAAATCTATATCTATGAATTTAGCTGTTCCACAGGGGAGCAAGAAAGTTGTCATTTCAGGTTCGAACTGTAGGTTTTATATCGTGCACCGCAACACTTTCGTAGCAAACCTGAAACCTACATTGCTAATCATGTAACGGTAAACAGCTACTAACGTAACGCCTACGTTTCTAAATGTGTAACGTAACACAGGTAGCGGCGTAAGGCCTATGCATCTAATCATGTACCTAACTTAACACATGCAGGTTGCAGCGTAAGGCCTATACTTCTAATCGTGTAACGCAATACAGGTAACAGCGTAAAGCCTACGCTTCTAATCATGTAACACAATACAGGTAGCAGCGCAAGGCCTACGTTTCTAATCATGTAACGCAACACAGGTAGCATCATGTAACGTAACACAAGTAGCAGCGTAATGCTGATAACCGGTATAGAGAAGACAAATACTCACGTGACGCTTGGCCTTCCATGCGTTCAGTCTTGACCTGTCCTTCGGGCGTGATGACTATGACCTGATGGGACGACGCAGACACTAAAACAACATTATTAATAAAAACTTCGTGGAACCTGTTCGTCCCATTAGCACTTCGAGGATTGCGTGTTCCGTCCTCCAACTCACTATCTCTGTACACATCATCTCTATCACGAAGTAACCTAATCGGTTCGGTTAAACCTTTTCTGTTTTTTCTTAACCGGTGTGAGCTTACATTGCTCGTACTAAGAGTTGACAGTCTAGTTATCTCGGCACCACCTGGTGAACTTTCACGATATCTAAACCTCCGTTGGTCAGTGTGCATTGATTGATTTAGTTTTGATCTCCTAGGTCTATTCCACGTTTGATGCCGCCTCAGGTGGGGGCGGACGTCACTGTTGCTGGGGTTGGCACTCTGGAAGGCCCCGGAAGCCGAAAATAGAGGTCTGTGGAGTTCTAGGTGCGAAAAACTGGAGTGGTCTGGCCTCCGGGGCCCTAGGAGTGGCGAATCACTCGATCGATTGTACACACTAAGACCCGAGCTGAGACCAAATTCAAAACATAGAAGGACAATAAGAACCTTGTTCTGCATGTCCAGCAGAACAAGGAAAGCCTCTTGATCAGTGCTGGGACGACAGCATCAAGAGGCGCAACAGCAACAGTAGCTGCACATGATGCCTCATGGCTTTACACGACCTATCAGCCCGACGAACTTATTGGCACGACACTAACTACTCCAGACCTGTCGCTCTCCATGGTACTACACAACATGCCAGTTGCCACCAGTCTCTTTGCTGCTGGCGTTGAACACAAACTGACCCAGAGCTCGTCATTGGCATTCGGGTTCATCCACAGTTTGCTCTCTCCCCGCTTCGACTCCGCCCATTGGCGGGTGCGAGAAGCTCGCTTCTCACCAAATTTACCCAAACACACCGGCAAACCTTTTAATTAACCAGACTGATGTGTCTGTGCCGCTACTTGTTAATGTGTCTAGTCCCACATCAGTTGTTGCAGGCGTATTAGTACTAAAAAGAATTTTCCTGATATGAGCTATCGAGACTTTTAGGAACGCGCAAATTCAATTAACGAAATAAAAAACTACCTTTTCAAAGTTCCTTGATGATAAATTATTTGAAATACTATTATTATGACTTATGGAATATTAAAGGGACTTCACCGAGAACATTCTTCTCGACTTATTACAGACTAGAATTCCGAGCCAAAACAACTCGTAATCGATAAGAAATGATGATAATTCCTAAACAAATTCAGCCACAGTAAAAATTTTGAATCGTGTAACAAATGATAAGTATTGAATTTGTGTCGCAAATGAGTTTATTAAAATAGGGGTTTACAATTTTAATAATGTTTACCAAGCATTTTAAATTCCACGTGTTGTTTAGGGTGGCGTGAAGCAGTTGAAAATTCCTTCTAAAGTCCACGGCAATTACGCGCCGTCTCTTATGAATATTGACTGGAACCCATTTAATTTCCTCTATGCTCGAAAATTTAGCCGGCAGAAATTACTGGATTATTAAATTAATATTTTCTATCAACTGATAACATCCCGTCTTTTTGTAAAACTAAGCTTAACGTGTCACATGTACCCACTTTTCAACAATTTAGGAAACGAAAAACAATTTACAATTTCGTGGCATCTTCGGTTGGTCACCAATTACTCAATAGTCTCCTAACACACATGCTTCAAACATTTCGATTAAACATGCTGTTTGTAGGGTAGCATATATTCATATATTCAGGTCGAAAACAAAATTCCAAGCTTTGCTATATCCTCACTTTGGCTTCAATTGAAAAAATCCCTTGTCCATTACGCAGGTTATGAATATTTAGCTTTCATTAAACGAGCTCAATACTTTAGCATAAAATCACAATTATAAAAGTATGTGAATTATAAGTTAATTAGATGTAACTGTTTTTTTATAATATGATAACATTTAGTCATGGTTGAACTATAAAGGATGACCCACGAGAAGTTCCGTCTTTCAGTTCAGCTTTCTTGTTACGTCACGTAGATCGAGAAACGTAAACAAACCCGTCATTCCCATGACGGATTGGTCGACAGGTTTCATCGCACTTCGGTGATTGCTTAATGCCCGTGACGTCACTGAGATCAGTGACGTCACAGGCCAACAACGAACTATATCCGCAAAAATGGGCTTCTGATGGGTAAACCTTATACTAGTTAAAAAATGACATACCATGGTTGAATGTATTAATTCAACCATGTGACATACAGTTGATTTATTCTGACATACCATGGTTGAATTAATTAATTCAACCATGTGACATACAGTTGATTTATTCGAAGTATTTGCATCATAGCCGTTTTGCCCTGCCATGCAGTAAAAGTCTGCCGGTCACCTGAAGGCTATATACTGAGTATAGGGATTCAGAATTCAGTATTATCGACAAATTAAATCCAGCAATAACCCAGTTAATATAAAACAAACAAATCAAAACAATATATTTCTTTTTCGAATGTTGATTTAAAGGAAAGTAAGGAAGGCAATGATGATTTGTCGTTTAGTCATTCCAAGAATTTAGACTTGAGTAGTAGAAATAGGTTTCTTGGGTGCCGATTAAACCTAACTTATTATGGCCAGACTTGCTCATTCATATCCATGTAAGGTTACTTGTGAATTTTACGCTTCTACTTAACCTTATTATTCCGAATGATACATATTCTATACGAGTTAATATTTCACATTTTTAGAGGGATAAATTTTCAATCCCGAAATCACTCAATGTTCACGAGATAATTAAATCCATGTCAACGTATATGTTCGCATCGCGACACTTTAGATAGAAATAAAATGAAAACAGAAATGAAAATGTCTGTTCACAATCTCACGAAGAAAGCGTGATTGTATTATAACTCTCCATCGCCAAAGCGATACACCGTGACATCTTAAAATCGACCCGTGTGATTACTGAATATTTTCCTTGGTCTTTTATGTTTGACCGTCAATAGCTTCGAGATTCAAATTTATAAGAGTGATTGAAGCATGAAAAAAAATTTTCAACAACTACTTCGCAATGTTAATGAGTCTCATTGGAAGAAAACTGTGGCAGACGACTAATTTTTTTCTAGAATCTACTGAGACCAGCTTCAAATAACATCCTTCTCTGCACCAACAAACGAACAACTTGAAGCAAATTTTCTACTTAATTTGAATGGTAGCGGATTTGTGGAAAAAGTGCCGATTCTTTGTTTTTTAACTGAAATTTCCATGATTTCTGCAGTGCCGTTGCCTACTATATAAGTAATGATCGTTGCTCTTGCTCACCCATTAATCACAGATCAGGCATGCCATGGTTGAACTACTAGTTCAACCATGAGGCATGCGTTCAATGACATGATCTAATATTTAGTACTGCTCCCAAACTCGCAATTCACGAAGAAAAATGATCCTAAATACGAAGTGAAACTCGTCAGCAATTGAAACGTAAGGTTAATTTTGAGTTCAAATCAGAATAATACCGCAAATGTAGAGTAATTCTAAAAGCGAGGATGAAAATTAATACATTTGTTTACAAACATAAATACAATTTACGAAATCAGCTACGAAATGCGTTAGTCGTGACGGAACATCTGCTCCCATGGCACATACTGACATAGACTCACATAGTTATGATAGTATTAGTATTGTAACGTGATCCTGCAATCAAGTATATATCTTTAAGTGCTTTGGCATTACGTTAATAATTTACACTAAAATCTAATTGATTAGATAAATTAATTAATATTATTATTCTTGAATCCATTTGATGAGCAGAGCAAGGCTGTTGTAAATAATGACGATATGACCGCTCAAAGACATCGTCATGCACAATCCTTAGACCGAACGACACTGTTAAGCACACTGCTCCTGCCATGGTTGAACTATACAAAGGTCAACCCACGAGGACTTCCGTCTTTCAGTTCTGCTCTCTTGTTACGTCACTGAGATCGAGAAACGTAAACAATCCTGTCATTCTCATGACGGATTGGTAGACTGGTTTGAACGCATTTCGGTGATTGGTTAATGCCTGTGACGTCACTGAGATCAGTGACATCACAGGCTAACAAAAAATTGCATCCGCAAAAATTAGCTTCTCGTGGGTAACCTTATACTATTTCAACCATTCCCCCTGCCGCGAACACACCACCGGACTCAACACCAAACGGAACTTACCCAATCAAAACTCAGCTATGAACCGATCTGACTGAAATTCAGAATATGACTAGTTATTAGCAGTGAGGCTAGGGAGAATTAAATGATTACGGATTTTCACGTCATTTCGTTCCTGATTAAAACGAAAAAGCGCAGTTTTTATCAACTTACCCAATCACATTTCTTTCTGTTATGAGCGAATCTGTTTGATATTAAAAAATAATTATTTATTAGCAATGCAGCGCGGAAAAAAATATTTACAGAATTTACCTCATTTTGTTTTTGATTAAAATGAATCTAACCTTACCTATTTTAACATAACTTAATTTTTGAAAGCCTCATTTTAATAAATAAAAAAAACGAAGTGACGTAGTATAGTAATTAATTTATATAGTAATATTATAGTAATTCTTCCATTTCTTTATTGCTAATAACTACCGGTAGTCATGTTCTGAATTCAAGTACATCCGTCCATATATGAAGGAGTCATGATTGGTTGCGCTTTGCGCGTTCATTGATTTTCATTTACGTCTGAAATCAAAATAGATCTAATTACAGCCTTAGATGATCCCTAATGACTTTTTATTCATAAATAATCATAAAATATAGAAGAAGACTACTCTACGTTGAGCCTCTCGTTTTAGTCATACCTAGCAAAATATTCAACTGCAGCTGGGTCTCAAACCCGCAGGTCGTGGCTCCAACTTTACAGTAAAAATTTCAGCGCCCAAAATGATCGATTTAAAAATTTATAACCTATCTGCTGGCATTCAACCCCGAATTTAAACTCGATAATCGAAGCATTATATAATCTGAGTTCGTCATAACGAATTGGGTGTTCCATAAGCCATAACTTTTAATAATCGGTGATGCGAAACTAATGGAATATAATTGCCGATTGAGCTATGAAGGAAAGTCGAGTAGGAACCCTTGTTAAAAATTTAAAATAATTAAAAATGTGTTATATAGTCAGGGTTTGCATTGCAAAGTCCACGGTTGAACTATAATAAGGTTGACCCATGAGAAGCCCATTTTTGCGGATGTAGTTTGTTGTTCGCCTGTGACGTCACGGGCATTAAAAATATACCGAAATGCGATCAAACCAGTCAACCAATCCATCACGGGAATGACGGGATTCTTTACGTTTCTCGATCCCAGTGACGTAACAAGAGAGCAGAACTGAAAGACTGATATCCTCGTGGGTCAACCATACATAGTTCAACCATGACAATGTCTGTCTTTATTTTCATCAAAAACTGTGGGGCGTGAAAAGTCGCTGAAAATGAATGCAGAAAAGCCTGTAATTAAGAATCTACGCAAATTTAGCTCAGTTGCGTAAATACTCCTCCAGTTTTTTTTTCTTACAATAAATCAACGTCTACTTATCTTCTAAACATCGGATTCTTGAAACGGAATTCATAAGGGAGCAAGCCGGTACTCGTATTATATATTTATAGTACTGTATCAATAGGCCATTGTGGGGCTTTGCGTGCGCGTTATCGTAAACGTAAAGGTAGAATTTCATCAATCGAATCAATTTCTAACTATGGTGTTTATTGGAAGAGTGTTTTGTGGCATTCACAAGCCACATCAGTACATGCAAACACATAAAGGATGGAGAATGCGAGGAAATCCAGGCAAACATAAAGCATGGTCCAGGCGTCGGATTTTAAGACTCTCTTCAGTAAGTTTCAATAAGAGACATTCAGTAGTCTCTTAACTTACACGTTTTCAATTATTTCATCACGAAAGTGTTTAAAGTGAATGGATTAACGTGTTTATGAACTTAATTGAGGTTTTGCAGTACTCTGTGAAACTGGGAATGGGATTACCCACAGCCACATTTCATGCACTTTGTTGTCATACATTCTTCTTTAATATGATTATGATGATATTATAATTATTTTCCTACTGAGCTATAAGAGGTTATATATGCTAACATTTTATTTCATTTCAGCATTTCTACGGACGACGTAATAATTGCTACAGCATTGCGATCAAGCAGGTCTACAGGTCTCTCAACAAATCCAGAATTGGACGCAAATTTCGCTATCCTTTCCTGACTAGGGTAAGCAAGTTGAGATTTATTTGAACTTTTCTTAAGTTTTATCATTCAGAGTGCAGAGTTAACATATATTTGTAGAAACTTGCAACTTGGGTGTGCAGTATTACCCGTATATGAATAACAGTTTTAAAAACTTCCATGGGGAAGGGCAGAGCCGCGGAGGACCTAGTGACAAACCACTGATTTTTTAAGATCAGTTTATTTCAACTTCATCATCTACTAATGATTTGAATTACCCACGATGTCGGAATATACCGCGTTTACCCTATATTAAATTTAACTCAAGGAAGAGTGTAAAAGTCTGTTTTTTTTTTGCTCTATTACTATAAGAAAGGGAAATGAAAGGGGCTCAGGAGTAAGAGAAATTGAGAGAATTGATGATGAAAACATTAAAGAAGTTATGTTTAGGTTAAAAATATGATGTATTCAGTCTCAGTCAAAATGTGTTGTCTGTTTTTGGGACATAGTGAAAACAGGCAAAGGCTTGAAAATAGAATTGTAACTGAAATTTCCCAGAGCAGGGCAATTTGAATAAATTAGTATGAGGTAAAATTTTCTGAAATATGTATGTAAAATAAAGAAGTTATATTGCATTTAATTTTTAAGATTGCAAGTGAAAAAAGGCCAAGTTTTTTATTTTACAACACTTCTCTTTAACTTTACTTCTTGTCTGTTTGTTTGTCTATCTGCTACAAATCTTATAATCAATATTTAACACACTTCTACCTGTCCAATTGATCTAAAATTTTGCACACTTGCGTAAATGTGAAGACAATGCATGAATCAACTAACAGAATATATAATTTAAAAACAAAAATTTTTTTTTGTTAATTTCTAATTTGAAAAATTGAAAAAATAATTTATTCTTCTACAAATCTTATACCGGTAATCAATATTTAACACACTTCCTCCTGTCCAATCAATCTGAAATTTTGCACACTTATGCAAAGTTGAAGACAAGGCATGAATCAATTGACAGAATAAATCAATTTAAAAATTCAATTTTTTTATATAGGTAATAATATTAAAAAAATTAAAAAATTAATTTTTTTTAATATATGGAAATAAAATTAGAAATTCATTGTAGATGTGTAATATAGAAGACACTGTATTTTTGGAAATCACCTATGAAATGATCAATTTTACCTGTTATTTTAGGATACTCCTGCCCAATGTTCTAAATCAGCTTAAGCTCTGTTAAGTTTCTGCCTGTTCAAGTTGAAGTTTGACAGTTCGGGCTACTGACATGGGAATTATAGGATGGTGCATTGCATATACCTGGTTATTTTTGAGTGGATGCATGTCCATCTTTGGACAGATAGGTTGTGATGTCATTCACTCCAGACTGTGATTGGTTGGTGGGATTGTGATGTCATACCCCTCAGACTGTAATTGTTTGTTTCAAATATGCTCTGTTATTTGGCTAATTTAATACCCCTCTAGAATTCCAGCCTGAATTGTTACATACCTCAAGCAATAATCATCTCTAATTTTTTAACACGTTTTTCTTTACTCAGCTTCGCGTTTGTTTGTTTGTTTGTTTGTTGTTAACATTGACAATGAAAATTAGGCCACTTCTGATTGCTCTAGAGATCTGAAATCCGGCATGCAGGCTATTTTTGCCTAACAATTTCAGATACAATCATAAAAACTAGCAATTAGAGACCTAAATTGGCTTAATTGAGTAAAGTATATATATAGTATATATATAGTATGACGTGCGGGCGCTGACGTTATAGACGAGCAGGCGCTGACACTGCGTATCATTGATGCGTACATCAAGTCAAGTAAATTGGCTCGCAACAACGTTTTCATGTGTAGCAACGGACTAAAAAGGAGAAAATAAAATACTTAAAAAAACTTAAAAAAACACATTTTTCTTGTGGAATAAAAAGTAGAAAATAAATTATGACTTGCCCCAAAAAAACGTGGGTCGGGCTGTACGTTCACCATCAAATTTCCAAAATTTGTGTGTTGTGTGCTTTTCGCTTTAATCATAAATCTGCCCGACACACGTTTTTTTTGGGGTGAGCCATAATTTATTTTCTACTTTTTATTGCACAAGAAAAACATGTTTATTAAAAAAGTTTTTTTTAAGTATTTTATGTTCTAAGTGATTGTGAAGTCCCAGGTATATAATTAAACAGGAAGCATGTTTTTTTTATAGGACATTTTAAAGAAGTTATTGCTGCTGGTAAGTGTGAAGCCTGAAGGCAATCCATTACAAAGGCAGATTAAATTTATTTCCCCTGTTCTAAAAATTTAACATGCCTATCAAAATGCACATGATTTTTATTCTAAGAAAATAAATATTTCTGGTTATTATGAAGGTGGCAATTGTGAGAAGAATTTGATTGGCTCCTAACATCAATTAACAAATCAACCTATAGCTTTCATATATATTCTTTAGAATTTGTTTTTAAAAGAAGGGGTAGTTGAAAAATACCATCATTATTGCTTAGAGTTTGGTTAGTTGCACAAGAGTCACAGGGAAAATGGAATAAACGCCTAAATTTCTTCATGATCAATTGATCCCTAGCAAAGAGCATGGGGACTTCAGGATGAACAAATTTTTTTAAAAATTACCAAATTAATGTTTTGCATCCTCAAAGGATAATGGATATACTTTTCCCCCACTCCATCCTCAGTGAACGCTTATGTGACTCATTCCATGTGCCCATTAATGCAGCTGTGGGAGCAAAGGTTGGATGCCGCCTGTGAGGAGCTGGGATATTCATGGCCCGGCATGAGAGTACATCTTCGAGAAGCTGGTGTTGCACTGAGCAAAAGTGTCCTTCAGAACCTTGCTATCTATGAACCTAGGACCTTCAGGGTTAGTAGTTTGAAATGAATCTTGCTAAAACATTTGGTCAAGAAACTAAACAGTGAACATTATTTTTCTTTGAATTTATCCATTTTATGCCATTTTTAAGTATCTTATATCATTAAAGCTGTTTTTTTTTCTATTTTCTTGAAATTAGTGTCTAGAATAGATTACCAATGTAAATATATACCTACCTATTTCAAATTCATGCTTTTATTAATTGAGCTTTAGATTTTGCAATAGGATGTAATTATAAAAAAATGTCCAAAAACGTGGTCAAGGAGGTTATATTCTTTGATAATGAGTATATCCAAGTTGAAACATTTCTTATTTGAATCACAACATTTTTTGGAATAGACACTTTTGAATTACAGAGTTTGGTCTCCTTGGCCAAGTCGCTGGATCCGGACCCTGGAATGAACTCGCTGCAAGGACCTCCTCCGAGCATCATCACAAAAGGCATGATCTGATGCTGGCAAACATCTCATCTGCCTCGTGAATGCAATGAAAATGAAGAACTCTCATTGCCTGGCATGTTAGATTTGTCCACGCAGGTTGTTTGATCAGATCTTGTTGTTGAATTGGTTCCACTAGGTTTTAACAAGTGCTAAACCTGTTTTCGATGCCAGTATGTTTATTGCCCATGTTGTTAGGCGTTAAGCCAACATTGAGCTTTGTATTTGCGGTCAAGATTTTAGGCGAGAACTCGGGAGTGCAAGTTCGCCAATAATCAATTTCTTGCTTGACTTTGAGCCTAATCCAGGTCATTGACTTTGATGTTACCGTGTCGCATAATTTACTTGAGTTGCGTTACGTATTGATTCAGCCCTATCCGACCGGGATACATGATTTGGATTTATCTCGCATTCTGGAAATAATCTAAAATTGCCCAATCAGAATGAATAATCATTAGAGTATACTAATAGTTTCTGTTGTACATATTTTCCTGAAATATTGCTTCACTAGTAAAAAATACTACGCTTACAGAATTATTTTGCCTACAATATTAGGATAGAATAATCTAAGGGTAATAATTAGACAATGAATTGTCATCAACTGTAATGGATAGTAAAATATTCCATCGAGATATTGAGTAGTGCAGTGATTATACAGAAAGGTATATAAATGTAAGCGTTGAAAATGTCTGCAAAATCTATGGACAGATTCTACAAACCTGCGTTTTTAAGGCAATCAAGATCAAATTGAAGAAAACAAACAGATGAACAATAGCCCGAGACTTTCATCTAATCCATTTAGAATTACTTCCAGATCCCATATAATATCTCGTAAAGCGATATTTGCATTAAGAACAATCCTTCACAACTCCTCAAGAAGACCAACAGAGGTGCTCGCATCAGTTCAGAGATGGGGCCAGTTAATATCTACTTCTGTAAGGCCAAGTGATTCATTGATATTAACATACTAATTGTAATAAGAAAATAGTTGTGACTCCAGATTGCGATGGGTAGAAGATTTCAGTTTTCTTTTGTTAGTACGTGCTGGTTAAGTATTATTTATTCTCTTACACAACGATCTATTTCTCTGATGAAATTAACAAAACAACGATCAGAGACCTGCTGTGTCACCGCTCGCTAGAAATCCCATATAGCTTACAACAATCATTCGAATAGCTACACATCTATAGCACAGCTTATCATAGTAAATACTAGATTTAAAATAGAAGTTTCAATTGTTGTTGAAATTCGTGGCATAGAACCAAAAATCCAGTTTGATTTTAGATAAGTTTATCTTACGCAAGCTTGGACTCGTACGGGTACATCGAGTATATATCTTGAGCACAAGAAGAGCAACGAAGATCTAGCGTTGTGAATAAATCGGGGGCGCAGCCGTAGGCCACAAATTTTACTCTTAAATAAGCCCTGGAGCCAACGCCTAGCTTCACCATGCATTAACTTTACTCTGCCTTAGACCTAGAAGCCGCAGACTACTCTTGAACTTCGTAATCCAGACAAGCGACACACTGCCGAAAGATAATAGCGCCGTAGGTCTTCAGCCAATGCTCAAGCATGCTCGCTCATAAGCAGGCAGTTCCCCGTCCGGCCTAACCTATTCACGCTGTCCCGGCTCACAACCTCGCAGCCAAAAAATGACTGGCTCTACCAGCAAACTTGGACCGCCTTTCTAACTTCTTGCAGACGATGAGGTTAGGTTAGGCTCGCTCAGGTTTGTTTTGGGTGGAGAAAGGTTGTAGCTCATATAGGTTAGGCCTGAAGAGGTTTGGCCAGATGCAGTATGGCCATGTTTAGCTTTGGCAAGCTTATTTTGTGGCTGTGGACATCTGGCGCTATGGCTTTGAGCACCTGACTTCATGGCTGTTGTGCACTCTATCATTCTTACCTATGGAAAGGAATATGAACGAAGTGTGAAGTGTGGCAAAGCTGGCCTCCGGCATGCACCCCTTTGATTTATGTCTTTTATGGAAATCAAGCAATTCAAAGGTCGCTCAGTGAGCCCAAGTTTAAAGAGAAACTCATAATTGGGACTGCATCATAATTATAACAATAAAATTTTATGGCATCTTGTTCAACGCTGCACCTGTAATTTGTTACTGCATCTCTCAAAATGCAGGGTTGGTGATTTTTTTTCAGCTTTTTTGTCTTTTTGAAATGAGAAAGGTTGCAGCTCGTATAGGTTAGGCCTGAAGGGGTTAGGCCAGATGCAGTATGGCCATATTTAACTTTGGCAAGCTTATTTTGTGGCTGTGGACATCTGGCGCTATGGCTTTGAGCACTTGACTTCCTAGGCCGTTATGCACTATAGCGTTCTTACCTATGGAAAGGAATATGAACGCAATGCGATGTTTGGCAAAGCTGGCCTCCGGCATGCGCCCCAATAAATCCAGCATGTGCGACGGCCTCCAGTGTGACTTAATACATCAAAACGAATTTCATTCGGTGCAATATAACCAATGCACATCTTTAGAACAAAGAAACATAGTCGGATTGTAATGAAATTTAAGGCCATCAAGAATACAATGTTATTGAACATACTGCAACGTGGGAAGACGACAAATTTTATTACAAAAAAAAATTCCTATTGTGAATTTATGTTTAATATAGTAGAATGTGCAATATTCTACTCTATTACACATGCATGAACTACATCAAGTATTTAATGAATATATTTCATAATATTGAATACTTTGTAGTCTGGATACGGCCAAGAACATGAGAATCCATTTTCTTCATCAACACGTTCTTATAAATACATAATACACATGATAGGAGATTCACACATATAATAGGAGATTCGCATCGATCATAACCCAATCAATATCACTGGGTCAATATCAAGAAGAGGTAATGAAGAAAATAACATCACAGACAACATTTCATGTACTAACTTGGCGGTGATAATTCAGAAAGGACCGGTAATAGTATTATAGTTTTCGTAGCTCTGTCAGCATTTCTCTCGTTATTACTTGTCTCCAAAGACGAAAAGCGCTGGGCTAATTTCAATGCTGAGAAAATGAGCTAATGTTGTATCCTATTTACAAAGCCTCGAAGCATTTTACGATCTAGATTTTGATGTATTTTTTGTTCAAAGCATTGAAGTTTTTTAAATGCTCAGCTATTCATGTGACTTCAATGGCATATTGGCACAGATTTTATTATTGATTACTCACAGCTGTAGTATGGAGTAAGTTCACATGGAATAACAGAATATCTTTGTGGCTCCAAATAAATAAACATAAGATTATAAACCTAATATTATGCAAATTGATGAACATGATAGTAGCGAGTGGAGTGAATACTTTATGCGATGACTTGACAGTGAAATGATTTCAATTAGAAACGAATAAAATATTATGTCGAAAATGAGAAATGTCCCCGAGCTCGAGGCGACGCCAAAGCAAGCTACAGCTAATATAAAGGAACAGATCTTACTTACAAATAATGTAAAGAGATTAGAACATTTTAGCTATTTTTGAATTAAAAAAAATACAGAATTTTGGAGTGAATAGAGAGCTTGCAAAATAAATGGGAATGCTTATCATCAGTATTTAAACGACTTTCTGCATCATCACTGACAGAAAAAAAGTTTCTAATATCAAAAACGACACGTTCCTTACATAATATAATGGTACGTTAAACAAGATTTCTCCAGCAAAGTAGTTAGAGATCAATTATAAAAATACCAAAGTCAATAAACTCAATAATAATGGGATTATGAGTCTTTTCTTGATACGCGCACAAAACAAGAATTTTTGAAAACAAATTCTTCGAGGAATGAAACTTTCAATAAACTTAAGTAATGAGCATTTACAACTCCAACTTATTTTAGACTATTGACAAACTAAACGACTTCATCGATTCTTTTGTGAATTTGTTGATATTTTTGTTGAGTGAAAGTTATATCCTTAGTTTTGTTATACCTGCTAACAAAACATGAGAGAGCAGAACGCGAACCTGAGACCGTGAAAAACACTAGTAATAATTATTATGTCGTCTGAGAACAAAACTTTGCCTTTGTAACTAAAACATTGATAGATAAATACTTCATTGAGAAGATCACATAGTGCTTCTTCAAGAAAAAGTTAGCACGGACGACATTTAGTCATCAGCGGAAATGATAGCAAATTTTCCCGACTGTCCTTACAGACCGAGCCCAAAGAGCCAGGCAGCCTTAAGACATCACATTTGAAACAACAATTCGCAATTGACATGTACCCAAAACCCTTGAGCTGCAAGTGTTACGGCATGCAGTTTTAGCGTCATTGAGTTAATACTTTACGCCTCCTTGAAGTAAGTTAAGCAACTCACAAACACAAAGCTATACATTCAACATTGGCAAGTTCCACGGCACTGACATCGACAAGGGCGTGCATTCGGAAAAACTCATCATAAAAAGAATTATTGGACCATAGATCCCAAGAGCGCTACAAAATTTAGGACAAAATGAAGAAATAGAATCAAGCAAGTTGTCTCGCGATTCTTTACAGATACATAGAAAAAGTACAACCCAACATGAAAAAATAGACGAGCTAAGAAAAAATTGTGATTTCAAGAAAAATTAAAGTTAAAGCACGAAATAGTTATCTAAACTATTAGTCTATTAAATGCAATAAAATGTGAACTGATAATAATAGAAAACGTTGTTCATAATTCTCGGCCAAGAAGGAATAAAGGTTATTAAATCAAAAGTGGATGAAAACCAAATTCGCGTTTTGCTAGCCACGCACTTCGCACGGCAAACTGCAAGATCTTATAAAGCAACAATATTTATAGGGCACGAAACGTATGCAGTCAAAAACATACTTACAAAATAAATTTACTTTCAGCTAAAACTTGTCGCCTAACCAAATGGAAATTTCTAGAACGAATTTTGTACAGTCATATGTAAAATGACAATAAAAATCAGGCAATTCTAATTGACTTGACTTGAACTAGAGACCAATTTAAATGCTGCTGCCATAGAAGCCTAATCATCTTTTATGATTAAGCATAGTTGTACAATAGTGATGAATCTTTGCACAAAAACAAACAATACAACACAAAAATTAACACTAAATCGACGCATAAAAAGCATAGAAATTTAAAGATTAATAAGAACAAGGAAATATTAAATTTGACCTTAGAACAATTGATAATGAACTGACAGTATATTATGAGTAATAACTCAACTCTACAAGACTTACAAAACACAAATATTATGAAACAATTTCAAGCACCTTGTCATCTGTCCAGCGCTTCACATAGTAAGTAAAATATATTACTAAGAATGTTTATGAATAAAGTTAAAGACATGATGATACGTGCATCACAATTACAGACTATATATATACATTCGCTCTAAGAAACATAGGTGTACAGAAAAATAGGTTTGAAGCCTTCAATGAGATTCAGTGATTTCAAACATTTAGTTCGTACCTTCAAATTTTAATGGTAGTTATTCATTTAGAGCAAAAAGCAGAGAGACTGCGCAATTACATGGAACATCCATGAAGTCACCAGCAGAAGTAAACTTCCACACATCAACGATATTTCTGCCTTAACCTCTTAATCCGACAGAGAGTAAGGTTGAGAAACAGCAATAGGCATAGACAGATATCGGTTGAGACAGATCAATGCATTACAATTGCACTGCTAACCTTCTCAACATGATGTAAGAAATATATACGAAACTAATCTCACTAAGCTACAGTTTGTGGCTAAGTTCGCACGTACATCAAGTTTGAGATGAGTATGGAACTAAAGCTATTAATTATAAGCATTAGTAGCAGTCAAAAATAAAGAAATTTCAAACATAGTTTCTTAGGATTCAACTCTAGGATTAGAGAATGTGAAAAGTGTGTTGAAACGTTATCGAGAAGGATCTTCCGAGAGAAGATTGTTCTTTACAAAGATGAAGTCGTTTGCCAAATTAAAGGCGGCGCTGACTTCAGTGAATACTGAATAGCCATTGGCAAGCAAAAGTTTCCTGATCGCCGCCTTGCCTTCCACGTCGTGGAGATACTCCACCGAGAGAGTCTGGAAATCACAACGAATATTAGAATAGAAATAACCACGTAATATAAGAACAGTCTGTTTAAAGTTCAAAGACATTTCTTCTGGCTTCGAGTCACTTGATATGTGGAACAGCCTCCTGTTGACCCCGTTGACGTTTAGAATATGAACGCGTTCAAGAACATATTAGACAACAGACTGCTTAATGATGAAAGCTGAATCTGGCTGCTATTCATGGTGCCGTCGGCTTACTCGACGAAGCGACTGCTCGGCCTGCGGTCAACTGCTGCAGCCCTTGATCCATCCGCCTATGAGAGAGTAGATTTACTCTTCACGGCGTCCCTCACGCCTCGCATGTCTTATCGTGGTGCCGTGCCGGCCAAAATATGTGTCGTGCTATCACCTATCGAGCAGTGCGCGACAACGGTATGTTCATCATCACTGGCAATAAGCCGATGCTACGGCGGCTGTAATTTGCGCCAAACTCTGCGTATGTGAATGCTGCTGCTGAGCATCGGCCTCTGTCGACCCGTAAGCCTAAAAACCTGCTTAGCGTTTGTGTTGATTGCCACTGCGTGCAGCCGTGTCGCCTGCTGTCGTTCGGATACCTCAACATCTGTTCGTTGAATAACAAGGTTGACGAGTTTCCTCAAATCTGTCGCTCGCGCTCTCCAGATGTCGTTTTCTAGACCAAGACCTGGCACGACGCTGACTCGGTTTGCACTGCTCGTCTTCGCGCTGTAGATCTCCAGGTAGTCGAGCGCGTGTGGCCCCACATGCAACCTGACACTCTGGCGTAGAAGTACGGTGGAGTAGCTACCGTCGTCAGCAGGGGCGTGCATCTTATCATTCCTGACATAGGGGCTCAACCCCCCACCTTCGAGATGCCATGTGCTAGGGTCACCTGCACCTCGTCCCGGATTGGTTGCTGATCGGACCTATTGTCTCGTATCGATTGCTCTGGCGCGCGAGTTTTTCGTCGAATTGAGCTGTCATCACCAGGCTTGTGACACTCTACGGTTGTGTTCTTATCACCGGCGATTTAAACGTTCGACTGGAGCGTGTCGAAGATTCATCGGCGCGTCAGCTGAAAGACTTGCTGTCCACCTTTGGCATTGTCACGTGACGTTGCCGACGCACGACATGGGCGGACTGTTGGACGTTGTCATCACGCGTGCTGACTTTCAAATTCAGCCAATCAACATCACCGAGATCACAATATCCGTCCATCGACTATTCAGTGGACGGTGCCACGTGTAAGCCCGGTGTCAGCGTCTAAAACCGTTACCTGTCGTCCGTGTGTAAAACAGCTACCTGTCGTCACCGTTGCTCCGTCACCAATATTTGGGCCGTGCTCGTTCGACTGCGTGCTCCAAGAATTCACATGCGTCACAGCTGCTGATAACATCCCTGCAGTGAGCGCGCTGCTTAACAAACAGGGTGCAAGCGAGCCGCTGACGACGTCGTTACTTAAGGGGAATGTTGTAACCCTAGAACCTTTTTCTGGTCGAACTTTTCAACCGCTGCCTTACTGACGGTGTGGTTCCACAGAACTTCGAATCACTTTGCATTACGCCTCTATTGAAATACCAGACCTTGACGATTCTGATCCCAAATTATATCGACCCGTCTACAATCTGTCGATTTTGTCGAAACTCCTAGAACTCGTTGTGGCCCGACAGTTGAACAACCATCTTGAGCAGTCCGGTCTCATGCCTCGCCTCCAGCCTACATACCGTCATCTCCACTCGACGGAAACCGCTGTACTGAAGGTGCTTTCAGATTATCTGAGAGCAGTAGACCGCGGCGACATTGCGGCACTAGCTTTACTCGACCTGTCGGCCGCATTTGACACGGTCGACCACGCCACTTCATTGCGTCGACTTGAAGTATTTCATCATTCGGCCTGAGCGGCACAGTGCTGTGGTGGTTCGAGTCCTATCTCGGCAATAGATTCCAATGCGCTCAAACGGGAACTCTTTCTCTACGCCATCGTTGATCACTTGCGATCGCCACAGCGATCAGTCCTCGGTCAGATCTTCTTCCTGTTATATGCTGTCGACGTGTTGCATATATTTGATTCACATAGTTCGATTCTGATATGTTCGCCGACGATAGCCAAATTTATGGCTACTATGCACCGGCTGACGCCGCAGCGTTGCAAGACCAGATGTCAGTCTGTATGGTCGCCATCTCAGATTAGATGCTCTCCAACCGGCTCCAGCTCAGTGAATCGAAAACCGAATTTATTTGGTTTGCGACTGCTCGGCGCCAGCATCAGCTGCCGGCCAACCCTGTTTGCATGGGCATCGAGTTCGTCATGCCTGCGTCTCTGGTTCGCAATCTCGGCATTCTGCTGGACTCGGAACCTTTTATGGACAATCACATAGCCAAAGTCATCACCGCTTGTTTTTGCGCTCTGTGATGAATACGAAGCGTCAGCTGCTGTCTCTCGAGGCCGCTCCTCAAGGCCCTCATGGTGGCGCTCATTCTGAACAAATTGGATTATGGTAATGCTACACTCCATCGACTTCTGACCACGGCACTTAATAAACTGCAATCCGTAATGGATTGCTGCAACGCGACTCGTGTGCAATAAGCGAAAATTCGGCCACGTGACGCCGATTTTGCGCGACCTTCACTGGTTGCGCACACAGCAGCGCATTTAGTTCAAGGTCGCTGTTCTGCGGTTCCGATGCCTTCACGGTCTGGCCCCTCCTTATCTCACGGAAGGTCTGCAGCGCGTGTCAGATCTGCCTTTTAAAGGACGACTGCGTTCGTCATCAACAGCAAGCCTCTTCATTCCATCTACACGTCTATGTACCGTCAGCTACAGAGCGTTCCCGGTCGCCGCCGCCAGAACCTGGAACAGTCTGCCGGCTTTTTTAACATCGACTCCTTTGTTGCCTGTGTTTCGTCGACGCCTCAAAACAGAACTACTTCGTAGAGCCCATGAATCAGTGCTGAGTAATTTTCAGCCGTTCTAATCCTTTCTCGTGTCTTTTCATTAGTGGCTTTTATTAAACTTGTGTGTAACGTGACCTCAAAGTGTGTACGAGCCAGACGCCACAATAACTGCTTCATGGAATAATAGACAAAGGAGGTGACCAGAGGTAAATATTCAGACCGGATATGCATATTCGTTCCGGATATATACTTTACGGCCCAGGGAAAACTCCAGTCGCTATTTCAAACCAACGTCAGTTTGTAAAGATCTGGTCAAAAGGACAGTTTTAGATCACCTGTACAAAGTACATGATCAGCAGAAAAAGTACAGGATCAGTACAAAAGGTACGAGAATCAGCGACAGGCCACGGTCCTTTTTTCTTCAGCGCCTACACAACTGCCGGTATACTATACTAAAGGACATAAATTCTGAAGGCAATGAAATCCCAATAAACAAAGAGATATTGAACAGAATAAATAATATACCGGTAGCATTGCCACTGCCAATAATTCTTCAGCAAAAAAAAAAAAACTTTTAAAAGCCCAAGCAGCACTCACACCTTGTGGGTCAGCACCCGAAAGTAAAATATAGGTACAAACGGCTGATGAATGAGAAAATGCGCAAAAAATGGTTTTGCAAACTCAATTAAAATTTTGCTGACCACACACTTTCAAAAACTAGCAACAATTAAACAGTTCTATGTGGTGATGCACCTGATCAAACTATAAACACAACAATAAATGGAATATTAATGCAAATGAATCAATATAATCCATGAGGATAGTCATAGGTGATTCAGAAGAAGATAATCGTGATCGTAACTGCAACACGAAACAACCCCTTTCCATGAGAAATACCCTGAAACTATACAGGATACATTGACATCAGCTCATTATCTACTAAATATTTTAGAGTAATTACGAGATGTATCGTTTATGAAATAATAAATAGGGTGGTTTACCTTGATGTCTACATCATCCCAGGGGATACTCTGCAGAACTTTGTACTCGGCGCCCTCAACGTCGAGGCTGAAGTAATCTACAGTCGTGACATTGAGAGCCTTCATGTAGGAAATGAATGGGAAGCACTGGACATTGACCAGGCCTTTAGCTGGGGCGTCGTCATAGCTTTCCACATCATAAATGTGGCCACGATTAGAGTTTTGAGCAAACACAACCTGAAAAATGTAAATTCATTTGTGGTAACAATTTACTGATCTAAGAATCTGGATACAAAAAATTTCTAATTAAAGTGTTCTGAAGTTTCAGAAACAAGATCAAAATTAAAATCGTATGTTTCTCCAAACAAGTACACTACCTATGATGCATATTCAAAATATAAAAAAATGAATAAAATGCACTTTTAATAAAAAAATTACCAGCCTAATCATGATCATTACACAGAAGAATCATGAATAAAAAGAATTCTTATGTAGCAAAAAAAGCTGAAAAATAATTTGAAATACTGCTATTGATATAGGTACTTTTTCAGGATTAGAGGTGGTGGAGAGACATGAAGGTGATATATAAGCTTTCCTATTCTTGGTTTTCATCTGGGCAAAGTTTACAGGATCTGCTTCAATAACCAGCCCTTTCCACCCTCGAAAGCGCTCAAAGAAAAGTGTGTTTGAGCGCAACTCGCCGTCCAGGCCTCCACACTCAACAAAGAAACCGCCACGCTGTAAAAAAAAAACAGGAAGAAATTAAATCACGAGCTAAAAGTCATTGTATTGAATGTATTGTGTTGAAAGTCTCAGAGAGCACATTAGGTCTAAGATACCTACCAACAAAATATACTTCATACAAATAGAATTTGAGTATGTTCCAGGTACCATAGAATACATGATTTTTATACAAAAAAAAAAAGGTTTGAAACTTCATCTGCACAAATGGCAAGTTAGGAATTCAATATATCAGCCATGGCAAGTTCCTTTGTTATGAATAGCTGTTTTATCATATGAGAAATTCTGAATCTCCTTGCTCTTAGCATTATACACTAACTCATTCTTAGATCCTAAAAATTACACAATTATTTGTCATTCCCTCTCATCTTATTGGAAATAACAATCAAAAATAAAATTTCCTTTCAAATAATGTTGAATCAAGACATTTAATTCTACTAAAATGTAGAAAGCTTCTCTCTGAAAAGAGGGAAGAAAGCTTTTCTCTGAAGGTATTACCAACCAAGAATAGAACCAAACCTGTTCTTTCAGGATTCTGTCTATAACTTGAGCTTGCCCCATTGATGGATTTTGCTCATTTGCATTATCCAGATTATAAGGAGCTTCTGATGGGGGCAAGAGGAAGTAACGACGTAGCAGGTCAATGGTGACTGGGCTCGTAGCTGAGCCAGGAACTGATGATAAGGCTGCTAGTGAGTTCTCCTCTGCAATGATAGAGAGCAATTCAACACTTATTGCAATACTACAACCCAAAACTAGTGAATATTATTTATAATTTTTTATCATATAGATGCTTGAGCACAAAAACTACCAAGTCAGAGCATAAGATCGTCTTTCCTTCAATAAAAAAAATGCAAACCTATAAATGGAATGCTAAATAAAATTTTTTTATGCCAATTTAAATGGAACCATTGGCTTGAAAAATAAAAATAAAAAATAAAAAAAAACATTGCACAACTCAGATTCATCAAAGGACTGTTTTAAAGAAATATTTATATCCATCATTCAACATATATATTAATTCTAATATCAAAATTTGAAATAATTTTGAAAATTAACCCTTTGGTGACAAACAAGACTGTCATCCAACTCAATGTTTCACCCTATAACTTGCATAGAAAGCACAACATTCAAGGCACAGTTAACTATAGGGACATAGAGAAACACTTCTGCCACTATGTAACTCAAGAAATATTATTTTTATGTGGTTATTGTGATCATTTTATTATTTTTGTCTGTTTTTGAGATATCTTACTATAAGCAACTGCAAACATTTGCCAAAGGAAGTATGTGATATTATTTAACTACTAATATACAATATAAATAGTACCGGTAGGTAAATATTTTTTGCAAAATCAGTATTTCTCTGAACAAATTTATTTGAGATAATGACGCATTTCTATGATCCTTACCTCCAAATTTGTCTGTGGGGCTAAGAATTGAGTGTAAAAGATTTGTTTAATCAAATAACAGTAACAGGAGAGCAGCTACAGTCCTGCAGCCTGATGTAACAAAATCTGTCACCTCAGTTGCAACCATATATATACCTACTACCTGGACTTTCTAGTCCCATTTATATAATTATTATCATTAACATTTATTTCATTATTATCTTATGGAAATGCACTGTTCAGTCCTAATTCACAATTCAATAAAAAATTACAGATAATAAGTTGTAAAACGCATTGCAGTAACAAATGGGTGAAAAACTAAATTCCTTGTGTCTGACACAGCAGTACTGTATAGTTTTCCAGTAAACAATGACTTACCAGTAGGTGGAGGACCATATTGGGTGTTCATTATTTTTGGGATCTGTAAAGGATTGCTTAATAATGGGCCAGCTGATAAACTCAAATAAAACAGCAGTAGGAGCAACATCAGCAAGGATGCTGTTAATAAATGACGCATTCCACAACCCATTCTCCAAATCATAATGAACCTGTAATGAAATAGGTTTATTGAGAATCATGCATTAAGAATTTTAAAAGTATAAGGTTCATTCATAATTATATCTAAGCTATAACACAGTAAACCAATTGCTACAGAAATAATGCAATCAAGGCCTCTTGGAGGTAACAGTCAAATAAGATTCTCTTCAGTTAATTGGGCAGGAGCTAATAAAATGACAGTTGGAATGAGCATCACATTCATCAATCAATCAATCACATTATTCTTGTGTGATACCATCAAATGGGGAAATAAGGGATGGGCGGGGTAATAAGGGACAGTTCTCCAACATTTCACAGAAATGTTGTAGCAGCTAAACTAATTGAAATATTGCAAAACTAAAAATAGTGGTGTAAAGATCAACATTTTTCCTGTCTATGTAGCATAAAGTGATTAGGAATTAGAATATAAATCCCCATAGATAATATACATAAACCATAGGTAATTCAGACTTTATTTCTAGGTCACATTGTGTACCTAGAGATGTGAAAAAATGTAGAGTGATGTGGTCATTACTGTCAAGAATGATTATTAAGAGGTGAGGATTATAGGATGATGTGATAGGATATTATAGGATGAGATAAGATGTACAAGGAGTAGGGTATGGGGGAAAAACTCAGGTTGTCTAGGGTAAAAGTTTGAGCAGTGCATGATGTGGGTTGCGGCCTGTGGGTATTTAAGCTGAACAGTTGGACTGCGGAGTCAGTCAAGTGTTGGAGTTTTGAGGCAGCTGGCGGTGGTGTTTGTCTCTGTGGCACAACCAAAACTGAGGGTCAGTGCAGTGTGGAAACGAGTTGTCACTAATTGATGCACTAATTTTTTGTCATGTGGAATTCTTTCAAGAGCAAGGTAAATCTAATCAAAATTCTTTGTTGTTCATTGATTGTTTTTGTCAACTGGAGCCTTTGCTAACCAAGGCTCTATTGTAAATGCATTTATAGGGGTGTCCCTTTTTACTCCGGAGGGTGTCTCTTATTACCCAGCCGTGTGGAAATGGCTGCCATTTTTTCTGGAATGAGATAAGCTAATTCTGTCAATCTTTTATGGTAAAATTTTTTAATATGGTAAATCTTTTTTTTTGCTACAGACCTTAGCAGAGGTACTTTTCCAAAATTTAACTTTTCACACTTTTTTAATTTCAAAGGTACCATCAAACGAGGTAAAAAAGAACAGGCGGGGTAAATCGGGATGCACGTCCCACATTTTGTAGAAATGTTGTAGCAGCTAAACTAATCAAAATATTGCAAAACTAAAAATAGTGGCGTAATCTTCAACATTTTTACTATCTATCATGTATAATGTCAAGAAATCAAACATTTACTATCTCTAAAGAATTACTGAAAAAAAGTGTGAAAAGTGCGATTTTGGAAAAGTACTTCTACTAAGGTCTGCAGCAAAAAAAAAAATTCACTGTATTAAAATTTTACTTACATAAAAGTTGCACACAGGTGTCGGGTTGAAAACGTGATTGATGGAATGTGCCTATCTCATTCCAAAATAAAATGGCAGCCATTTCCGCATGATGGGGTAAAAAGGAACACCCCCAGGGGTAATTAGGGACACCCCCAGGGGTAATTAGGGACACCCCCAGATGTAATTAGGGACACCCCCAGGGGTAATTAGGGACACCCCCAGGGGTAATTAGGGGCACCCCCAGGGGTAATTAGGGACACCCCCAGGGGTAATTAGTTAGGGACACCCCCCATGGGTAATTAGGGACACCCCCTGGGGTAATTAGGGACAACCCCCGCTTTAATTAGGGACAACCCCTAAAACACATTTACAGCAGATCCTCTGTTAGCAAAGGCTACAGTTAAGATAAATATGGGTTAATTATAATGATTTTTGCTTAAATTTTAAATTTAAGCAAAAATCTAAATTTAAATTCAAATAAAATCTTCTTGGGGAGCAGAACAGCCTGGATGTTAGGCAGAACTCCTAACATCCTGGTCACTCAATGCAATGGTCACTTCCTAAAGAAGCTTGTTGAGCTCCTCATCGTTACATTACATCTAAAAGGAAGAGGAGGACTTTGGAGTACTGCTGCCTGCTGGTAATAGGTGAGTACACTCTGCACCCTTCAACCATTTAAAATTGAGTTTTATTATTGAGTTGTCCCTTTTTACCCCATTTCCAGATAAATCCAGGAGACTCTTATTTTGCGTCTAGCACCTTACAAATAGCATATGGAATTTTTTTGAAGATGCCATTCAATAGCCCTCACAAAGAGCTATAAAATGAGCCTAAACTTGTTTGTGAAATGTTTCATGGTAAGAAGTTATAAAAAAACGCTTGAACCCATCCCTTTTTACCCCATTTGATGGTAGTAAATGTATGATTTCTTAACTTGCTTTATGCTACATAAATAGGAGAAATGTTGAACTTTATGCCACTATTTTTTGTTTTGCAATATTTTAATTAGTTTAGCTGCTACAACACTCCTACGAAATGTTGGAGGACTGTCCCTTATTACCCCGCCTGTCCCTTATTACCTAATTTTCAGGGGTAATTGGGGACACTTTTATTTTGTGCCTGGCACCTTACAAATAGATTATAAAATTTCATGGATATACCATACAACAGCCCTTACAAATGTTTTTAAAATGAGCTCAAATTCATTCATGAAATGTTTCATGGTAACAAGTTATTAACGAAAAATGCTCAAAACTGTCTTGTATTATCCCGTTTGACGGTACCGTCAACTTACGGCATCAAACAAGGTAATAAGGGATTTTTTGCAGATAACTTCTTACCATGAAACATTTCATAAACTTGTTTGGGCTCATTTTAAAAAGGTCTTTGCTAGGGCTATTGTATGGCAACTCCAAAAAATTCCATACGCTATTTGTAAGGTGCCAGAAGCAAAAAAAAAAAGCATCCTGAATTACCCCTGGGAATGAGGTAATCCAGGACCCTTAATATAAAACTTAATTTTAGAGCATTTGAAGCATGCAGAGTGTACTCAACCATTACTAACAGTATGTAGGTATTCCAAAGTCCTCCTTTGACAATGTAGATTAAATGATGCTTTCTGTGATTTATACTTGTTTTTTCTTTATTGATATTACCATATTCAGTTTTCAATAACAAAAATTATTTTTTCCATTCTATACCTAACACTATTAAACCACTCAAAAAACTTCAATGCCATTGATGACAACCTCATCCAGGGCAAGCTTTATATCAGCAGCCATGATACCATAGCATATACTCTGTAAGCTTTTATAGCATATATATATATATCCTCTCTCACGCTCTCTGAGATATCCTATACATATATCTCATATAGCATATCCTCTGTAAGATTATAGGACTTTTAAATTTGGTCATGTGAATTAATTCACGATAAAAAAATATATAAAACATACAGTGGGGGGAATAAATATTCGTACACTTGAAAAATCGTATTTTAATGTACACAAACTGAACAGGAGAAGTGATTTATATTATGTATAGAGGTGCATTGTATTCAAAAATAGCATCAATAGAAATTAAATCTCAATGCAACAAAAATTAATGCAACATGTTAACTTCTTCGGGTCAAAAAAGTATTCTACGGCACTAGGAAGCACGGCGCTAGGAAGCACGGCGCTAGGAATAACGGCGCTAGGGAGCACGGCGCTAGGAAGCACGGCGCTAGGAAGCACGGCGTTAGGAATGACGGCGCTAGGAAGCACCGCGCTGCGAATAACCATGCTTGGAAGCAAAAGCTAGGATGCACCACGCTAGGAAACACATCACGCTAGGAAGCACCACGCTGGGAAGCTACACGCTTGGAAGCAACACGCAGGGAAACAACACTCTGGGGAGCATCACGCTGGGAAGCAACACGCTGGGAAGCGACACGCTGAGAAGCACCACGCTGGGAAGCAACACGCTAGAAAGCGACACGCTGGGAAGCACCACGCTGGGAAGCACCACGCTGGGAAGCAACACGCTGGGAATCACCATGCCTTGAAAATTCTTGCCATATTTCTCTCCTATTGATAATTGTTTATTGCACTGAGCTGATTGAATCTATCCTTTAATATATTTTTCCCACCCCACAGCCCGGTTTTCTAATCATCTTCAATATATATAATTGCTTATTCAGCTTCTCTGGCGCTGACATCAAGCCATCACCAACAATTCTGTTGCAGGTGTCAGCTCACTAAGCTGTATTGCGGCATCAGCAGCGCAGCTGGCGTCGTCGCCGTGGCGTGCGTGGCTACGGCCACAACTGAGCTGTACATCGCACTCCCCGCCCCCCTCAGCCTGCACGCCCTGCACGGCAAATATGAGTTCCTAGGTGAGGGCGGGTGGTTTGGGATAAGCGGCCTTGCAAGAACTGCTGCAGCAAGACCAAATTTAGCTGAACGGCCGCATTCAGAGGATAACTCCAGCAATTTTGAGTTAGTTTAGTTCAACATATTTTAATTACACATATTTAGTTTATATTCAATTGCTTGTAATTAGATTTATACGTGGGTGCCGCCTCCTAGTTTTAGGCTAAATTACACTTGATGCCATCGGAGAGGCGTGCTGTACGGCAAACGAAGGCATGATTAGGAATAGGAATAGGAATAAATAAGATAAGAATAGGGGGATTTGTGGGTTTAGAAGCGGAGTTTGAATTAAGGGGTGGAGCCCGAGCCGCCTAGCACGCATGCGCGGGACCGGGGAAGTATTTAATAGGAGCGAGCGGGCCACCGCGGGCAGTCGCGCGGCGGTGTTAGAGAGAGACGGACCAACAGTGAATGTTTAGGAACAATAGTGGTGTTCGTTATTTTCCCGAGTCACGACGTCTCTTCAGACAACTTCAGCCGACCGCGTTGTATATCACCGAGATTACTCGCACACCGTTTACCGACAACCGAAGTCAACGAAGGCCTCAATGATTTTGAAGAAGTTCTCGCATCCTACTCGACGAAGTCCTACCTAGTTCTTTCACCGAAGTCAACGANGGCCCTGCCCCCGCCGTGCCAGGAGGGGCACGACGCTGGGGTCGAGAGC